TGGTGAACACACGATCCGCAGTGGGACAGCTGTGATCCTCCAGAGATTTAGTGTGAAATGAGGCATCGGTCCACCTGTGCTGGTGCTTAATGGAGCACAGGAAGAGGTGGAGAGAGCCCTCTCTGACCACCCCATCAATCAAAATACTCCCAGCCTTTCTTCATTGTTTTTGGGAAAAAGAGAAAGAAGCGCACAATTGCTTTTCAGAAAATATACTTTAATACAGACATTTTCATAACCAGCGTGCATCTATTACTTGCGTGTCAATCAAACTCCAGACAAAAGTACTCGTGACACAAAAAACATTGAATAGAACAAGCCTGGACATGCCTCTGTAAGAACAACACAACAAACACATGGATCAGTTTTATATTCAGGGCTGTTGTCAAACGAAAAGTCAGAAGCTTTAACAAATTTCTACATGCGCAAAATGTTTCCTCCCTCATCAGCATGCAGTGCAGTCCGTTATCTGTGCACCAAAATGTAACAGTGGCAGCTGTGTTTGATTTATATCCTGTCAAATCTTCAAGGTGAAGTCACTACTTCCAAAAGCTGCACCACACCTACTGTACCCACACATGACAACAGGTCTGTGTGAGTGTGTGTGTGTGTGTGTGTGTGTGTGTGTGTGTGTTTGTGTTTGTGTTTGTGTGTGTTTCAGAGAGTGAATGTGTTCCTGCACTTCGGAGGGAGTCTGGTAAAAAAAAAGTCAAATGAATTGATGCTGACAGGAGAAGATGTGTGTGTGGACACTTCAGCTGAAAGTTTGGATTTTGTTGACACACTGCTGGATAGTTTATGAGATGCTGACCAGCTGTGATATTGATACATGGATATTATCTCAGGTAGGCCTTGCCGTGGCTTCAGATTTTCCAGTGAGATACCCAGAAACGAGCATCCGAAAAAAACTCAACCAACAACTTCACAAAAAAACTGGAACATCGTTTGTTGATTTTGGCAGCTGTATTCTTCTCATAAGCTGTGTGGAAGTTTATACACATGTTGCATCGTACTGCAGCATCAAGGGATGCTCATGGGGGATAAATCTTTAGGTTTCAAGATTCAACTTTGCTTTTCAGGTTTGGTGAAATGACATTTTAGAAATAGTCTATCAAGTGGTTGTCTCCCATTTTTGTCCCTTGAGGCTGCTGTAAAGATACTTTTGCTTAGAGATCAATTGTAATAATGATTTTTTTCCCCCACACAGAAACGTATAATTAGGAACTCAAGAGAATATGACAAACAGGAAACACTCCCACACAATTTGACCTGAATGAAATTTAGCACTAATGCAATAAAGGCTAAAGTGCTCTCTTCCAAATAAAGATTGAACAGACCTGTAGATTGGACATTTAAACATCAACAAATAAAGAACACATTACACATGATGTCAAAAGACAAAAAAGGAAACTTTAGACTGCATTAATCCTTAAGTGTCTGCTTGAGACAAAGACTGCTTACGCAACAAGTGGTCGTAGCCCATCAGATTCCAATGTGAAGCCAATTATGCTGAAGTGACTTCGGCCTGCATTTTCACTGGTGGCCAGTAGGGGGTTGTCTTATTGTTTCGTATTGATTAAGATTAAGATTAAGATTTACTTTTATTGATCCCCACAAGGGGATCAATTTCAGTTTTTACACTCTTTAAGTCATGAACACACACAAAGGCTGAAATACACATACATGCAGAAACAGGATCCTATGGAGAGAAGCCAGAGTGACGGAGCAGCCCACAGCGGGCACTCCTGAGCTGATGGTGGGGAGGGGGTTTGGTGCTTTGCTCAAGGGCACCTCGGCAGTGCTCAGGAGGTGATCTGGCACCTCCAGCTACGAGACCAACTTCCATATTTGGGACTTGAACCGGCGATCATCCAGTTCCCAACCCAAGTCCCTACAGACTGAGCTACTGTATTCTTCAGTTAAGTTAATTTTGTATTACACAAAGTCTGAGTCAAATAAACTGTAATTCAGGTACACTCTCGACATGGTGGCTACACAGTGAACACATTGCTGCTGTAGAAACCTTCTTAAAGTTTAGTTTATAGTTTTGTGGAGGAGTTCATACTTTTTGTTTTTGAGTTTGTTTGTTTTAAAGCCTGTTTTCCGCTTTAGCTAGCTAAATTAGCGACCCAGTACATGTTAAAGTTGGGCTACCATGACAGAAAATAATACCTTGGTAGCAAAGCTAGCAGTATGATTAGCTGATAATGTAGCATTTGATAGCTAACGCTCGGCTCCATCTTCACCTTCTTGTCCAGCTTACTTTCTGCTCCAAAAGAAAACATTTCTACAGCTTGGAAAACAGTGTACGACTTATGGGTTAACCAAAACAAGTGACAACTTTGTTAAACAGTTGTGGCAAACATATTAGCTAACCACAGCATCTGTGTGAAATATTGTGTCTGTTAGCCTCATAACCAGGGATGTTCCTAGCGACTAATTTCCCTGCTGATTAAATGCAATAAATCGACTAGTCTAAGGATTAGAAAACGCTCTGAAATATTTCAAAAGTGAGCAGAACTTATTCTAACATGGCTTCATACGCAGATAGGCCTAGCCTACCTCAACTTGTGGGCCGGGACCCAAAAGTGGGTCACAGAGCCATGTTTAGTGGGTTTATGTGTGTCTGGGAATGGAAATGTTGAAAATTGTTGACACAATCTGTTCCATCTGCCAACCGAACTGCACTATTTTTCTCACAGAGGTTTGTGGTGGGTCCTGAGGCTAGACCAATTCAGAAACCACTGGCCTAAACAATGTCCAATTGGTTTAACTTTAGCAATGCTAGCACCACCAAATGCCACATGTCCACTGTGCTTAATCATCAGTTCAACTGACTAGTGATTCTGGAATCAACTAGCGAGGGAGGCGTTTAATCGTTTAGTCGGCTGTAATTGCACACATCCCTTTTAATCACTGTGCCCAATGCACCTATGTAGTTCTGAGAGAAATTATCATGTATTCAGAAAGTGTTCATCTTTCTTTGTTAGCTAGTTGTGAGCAAAGTGTGACTGATCAGATAACAACTAACAATGAAAGTATTGATCAATGCAGGATGAAGATCCATCTGTGTTAAACTCAGAGCTGTTGGGAACAAAGGAACAAAGTTAATGACATTAGATTTCCTTGGAAACACTTAGGGGAAAAGCTAACTTGCCAGTTGTCTACTCTGCGGTCTTGTGCTGTTATGCTAATCACATCGAGGCTTCACGGGTTATTTGGCACAGGTGCACTGATGCTTTAAGGTGTTACTCCTAGAAAAACCGGCCGAACATGAACACACACTCTGTACACTGCAAACAGACACCATACAGTCACTTTTTAAACACTGTGCAGCATAGAGAACACAACAGTGTTTGACAAATATCCGATAATAGTGAACAAACATGCACCACAAAGTCGAGTAGAATACATTTTAACACTCAGTGCTACAGGTTGCTGTAGCTAACACAGACGTGTTCGACTGTGCGACAGAATGAAGCTTTAATATTGCTGCTGATCTGTGCTTAAAGATGGCATTGCTTTTGTACATGGCTGTTCAGCTAGGCCACTGTTGTGCTGTGATTTTTATTGGTGCATCTTCACAGTGCCTATAGAGAGCTTATCGTTGTATAGGCAGTGAACTGCAATCAAGTGTGCGTGTGTGTGTAGTAAGGTGTGTATTTGTTGGTCTCCTGCCGGCCTTCATGAATATGTTGTCCTCCAACTGAAGCAACAGGAGACTTGACATCTCTGAGTCATACTGACCATCTCCGCTAAAAGATGAAAGCCTATCCCCGGGAAGTAGTCCACGCGGGATAAACTAAAAGTTAAAGTATCCAAATTCAGAAGACTTCTCCGTCCTCCTGACGAGCCGAGATGCAAAGAGCAAAGTAGTGAAACAGAATAGGAAAACAATTCTTTCTCTACAGGCGCCATCACAGAGCTTCAAAGGAGATGGCGAGGACGAGATGAAAGGCCGGATGCATTGTTGTTTTTGAAAAAAAAGAAGAAAAAAAAAGATGGCTGGTCCTTGTCTTCCTGATGTCAAGGCTTGCGTTTCCAGCAGTGTCTTTTATCACTCGGATATGAAGGCAGGAAAAAAGAGGTTGAATTAAAGGAGACTTTTAATATTCTTAAACCTGGGCTCGCTAGTTTTCATATCTTGAAGTCAAAACAACAAAGTTTTTGGAATTGCTCCAGTAGATTGCTGCAGCGAAAACAAACTGTTATGGCTGCAACATTATCGTTGCAGTAAAATATATTTTATTGACGCATGTCCACAGAAAAGTTTTGGTCAGTGCCATCAAGAGGCTCAGATATTTTAATTTTGAGTACCTGACAACATTTCAGAAAGAATCCCAGAGAGAGAGAGAGAGAGAGAGAGAGAGAGAGAGAGAGAGAGAGAGAGAGAGACAATCACTTTTTTTAAACATTAAACAGCCGTCAATGTTTTGAAAGCCACCAAACTCAATTCTCAATAACAGCAATTTAACATTAAAAACATGGGAGTTGCTGTTTTTATTGCCGGTTCAATCACAATGAGTTTGTGTTCTTTGTATGACCTTTTTGTTTTAGATAGTTAGTGAGGTCAAATCCTGTGTTCTGCCAGGTAAACATACAGTTTGTCCATGCTTTCAGGTGACTTTTAAGACGAAGAAAGCAACTTCCCCGTAGGAATCCTTTCTGTTATGTTGTCTGACACTTACTGCCAATTTCCACATAATCCATGCACGCTGCGTTCATGGTTTTGCTCCATCGGACGGCGCAGCTGTGTCTGTTTCTGGAGCGCAGCGATACACACGACTATTGTGTTTTATTTTGAGATTGACCAGATGCACAGTGCGTTGTTTCCTTGTCTGACTTCCTGTCCAGCTCGATCTATTCTGCCTAGCTTGACGCTTGCTCGCAATGAGCTCCGTCGAAAAATAGCGGTATTTGAAACGGAGCAGTGGTGCTGCTGGCTGGTACCAGTGACAGATAGCGGCGCTTGCTGTCCAAACAGAAGCATTGACTAGAGTGGCAGCGTGCGGCAGCGTGGTGCACGGAGCTGATGGACCACAGCGCACCATGAGTATGTGGAAATTGAATCTGAGCCTGGCAGTGACGAAAACAAGACGTTTTAGTGGACGTACAGATAGGGTGCATTTCCTCACAGGGATTATTATGTCGCTGTTTAAAGACTTTTGAATGGCTGCCAGCTGAAGCAACATACTGCAGCAATTCAACAGTTTTTGTGCCTCTTAGTTTTGACACCAACGTCTGCCCTGGTTTAAAAAATACCAAAAAGAGGGTCAGAGGTCAGGGAAAAGTTTACTGCTACATGGGGCACACTTTGTTCTCTGGGATGGGTAGCTGTGCGAATGAGCCGCAGTCGGTTGGAGAATCGTCAGACCTGGCCGATCCAGTGCCACTCAAGGGGATTCTCGCTGCGATGGCGGACATTTCTCCTGTTTGACTCTCTGCGGTGATTCCAGGGCGCTCTGAGGTCCTGTTCAGGTCGCTGTCGTGGATGTTCCCTATGCCGAAGAGCTGGATGAGGCACTTCCTGAACTGGATAGAAAATGAGAATTAAAAGTGTGATTAGTAGCCATGTTTACATCGTTAAAACCACTCTGTCTTAGGCTTGAGCTTGAGGAAAAAGTGGGAAACAGAAAGTCTTTCTTTAACACCTTTAATTTTGGGAACACTGTGCACAAACAAATAAGTGTGGATAAGTTCAGGCAGCACGGTACTGTATGGTGTCTCACTAAACTTTCCCTTCAAGGTTCAAAGACTTGTAGTCTCACTCAACCTTGCTCTCAGAGAGTAACAATTCAGACAGTTTGTAAAGCACATTTTATATCACAGTAAAAGAAACCCTAGTGCTTCAGCCAATCCACAGACTGAGGTTGGTGCTCCCAGAGAAGAATCTAAGACGTCAAAAATTATTCAGAGGACTCCTTTACACAGGCAGAATCCAAAGAAAATACAACTAATTACAGCAAATGTATTGAGGTGCAAAGGACTAACGTTTTGAGGCACTGCATCTTCCTCAGAGTCAAAGTGACTCCAGTACAATAACTGTTCTGTGTAAATCATTCATGCGTCATCACTAGAAAGTTAAACGATCCTTATGAGATTGAACATGTAAACCATTTCAAAATCGAAAACCAACAAAGCGGTCTCAATCTACACTCCAACAGAAACTATCCTGCTGCATCAGAAAGGATCCCTCCAATCCAAATCCATTACATCCATAAAGATCCACCGATTGATTCAAAATGTCCTCCACTGTTCAACTGTGTTCTCTGCACTAATTAATGCATTCTGAGCTTTCGACTGACACTTCATTTGACCAATCGGGACCTTGTATTCACTGCAAGGTGGCTACTATAACTGAAGAGACCCTGAGTAGAAACAGGACTCTTTCTCTCCCATCCATGGCGGGCATAACACATAATACAGATGTGTGAGTTAAAAAAAAGACGGGGTCAGCAGTCTCTTCTCTTTGGAGACTCAGGAGCAAATGAGGTTAGCTGACTTTGTAAAAATGAATTCAAGTGTCTTTAAAGGAAGTTAAAAAGGGGGCGCCAGTAGCCATAGCAGTTAGTGTGCGTGTCCATGTATGGTGGCTGTAGTCCTCCAAGGCGGCCTGGGCTCGAATTTGACCTTTGGCTCCTTTCCCAAATTACCTGACCCACTCTCTCTCTCTCTCTCTCTCTCTCTCTCTCTCCTTTCTGACTCTATCCACTGTCCTGTCACTAAAATAAAGGCAAAAGCCCCAAAATAAACTTTTTAAGTAAAAAAAGTTAAGTAAGTAAGTAAAATTAACTTCTTAAATAATAAAAATTAAAAAGAAAAGACAAGATAGCTTTGTCTGCACTAGAATCAGGGACATCCAGGTTTTCTCACTGTGTCTGCGTTGCCCTCTATGACACATACACACTCACACATATACTGGGCGTACCTGTGGATTGATGTTCTTAGAAAAGCATCACCCCATCCCCACTTATATCATTAAAATCCCTGTTTTCCACATTACTCTAAATTTAAAACCTTAATTGACCTTGTTTAGGTGTTAAAGTTTCCCCTTCATGAAGCCTCAAGGGTGAAACCATGATCCCTGACCCTTAAAGACCTAAAGATCTAATTCAACACACAAACCTCCTAAAGGCTCCCCTTTAAACCAGTAAAGATTTCTAAGAACTGCAGCGACACCTTCGCTCCCCTCTACTGTTGGGAAAAGCAAAAGGCTGTGATGTTGCAGTGTCTTTGTTCAATCTGAGACCGTAATTATGCAGATAAATCCTGCAGAACCACAATGTGTATAACATTTTCCTCTAGCTTTAAAAAAGTAAATAAAGCTGTTGCATCACTGCTGCACAGAGAATAAGGTCATAAAATGTCAAAAAGAAGATCCTGAAACACATTTTCATGCTTCTTTGATGCAGTTTGAATTCAGAAGAGTCTCAAAGTGAGGTTTTAGTTAGCACATAAAATACACTATGTGACAACTGATGGAGACACCAAAATGACAACACTACCTGGAACGAACCCCTTCCACTTCCAGGATGTTTTTGCCGTCATTGTTTGTTGCAGCTTGTAAACACAAGATTCAAATTGTGCACCGCCTTGTGGGCTCATCGCCCCCCAGAAGCACACGCCCACTGCAGGACTAACATATACGTTTACTGCTACCTGAGAATATTACATGTTGTAATAGAAAAGCTGATCATTTAGCAAGCTAGCACAAGCTTGTCATTTGTGTTCGGCACCTGACTGCTCAACAGAAAGCTGGCAAACTATGTGTGGCTCTTCATCCCAAGCCACTCCATTAGTGCCTAAAGTAAGAGAAAGCCAATCGAAGGTTCACCCTTGTTTTGTAACGAGCTTTATCCACCTGATTGTAGCACCACAAATTAAGATCAGTCATCCCACAGCTGTCTCTTAAAGTCGGCTCAACAATGATCTTTTCTGTGAATCTGGAGCTCTTTGTCCATTTTTGACCCTAAAGGTTAAACTGTTCATGACCTAAATGACCTGACAGAAGAATGTATGGAAAGAATACAGTACAATGTTGTTTTTCTGCCTGAATGCTTTCATGTCTGGAGTTGTAAAAACTCATCTGTGGCAGCAGAATGAGGAGAACAAAGAATTACTCAAAACGGATCAATAAAGTTTTCCACTCCCAGTGGGCCAAACGTCAATTTGTTGCTTTAAATTAAAAGTATATCTAGTCTGTCAACACAGTCCAGACCTTCTTTTTGAAAAGCGTTATTTTTAGATCTCTGCTTCGCCTTCTATTGATCAAGCTGTTTGATATGTAGAGATCAAAACGATAAAGCCTCGTGTGAAACAGATGTTAAATAGAACTAACAGAAGGGATTGATGCATTTTTCTAGGAGGCTTTCTCTCTTCGATCTTTTGACCTGAGGGATCCCAGGAGACGGTTTCAGCTCACTTTGTTTCGTAAAGCCCGGCACACACTTAAAAGATTTTTAAAATCTGAACACATGTGGACAATGTGAAAGAGCACACACGAAGATAGGTAATGATAACAATAAAACAGCACACCTTACACTCGCAGAGTCCTGACTCTACAGTTAACAAACATGGCTGACGACTAGCAGCCAGAATTGGTGGTGATGGTTTACGACACCTTTTGACTGAAAATTCACAAAGAAGAAATGAAAACTATGGATGACGTTGTTGACACAGTGGGAAGAAAAGCTGCACATGTTACAGTGCGAGCTGGTTGAGTAAAATAAGATCTGCTGCAGATGTTTTGCTCCCTTCTTTAGTCAGCTTGCTTCCTAATAGGCTATCGTTTATTTCATTAGACAATCTACAGAAAGCGTGCACGACAGCCGTCTCTTAATTCAGCAGAAGCATCCTTCGGAGGACGCAGATCAAGATTGATTATGTCCCAAAAGGCGATCCCATTTGGAAGGTCCCTTCAAATGCGGCCAACAAATGTGTCCAATTTTTCCTGGATCACAAAGGATGCATCCTATATCCAAGGATTCACTGGTCACTAATTCAAACAAAATGACTACAATGACTACAGTGAAGTGATTGGTTTTATCTCAATCAAAAAGACTAAAAACAAACTAAACTTTCACGAATTTTAAATGACCTTCAAAATAATAGGTTAAGTTTTGTGACGTTGGTTTTGTTAGCTGGTTCTGGTGCAACTGTTGAGGTTGCTAGGTGACAGAAGCTGCGCTTAGTAACCAAAGCATACTGGTGACGCAAACAGGAAATCCTATGTAGACCAAAGCATCTCATTTCAGAAACGACCTCTGTGGTCTACGTAGGCTACATAGGCCTGGTCCTTGGTAGGCTGGGTTCTTTGGAGGGTATTACCCTTTATTGTGACACAGCTCACAGGATATCTGATTGTGATTGTACAAAACATACACCTCATACCACTGCATTATAATCTTTTAGTCTAGGACGATCAAAAAAAAATCTGCTAATTTTTGTCAGACTAGAAGAATCGGGTAGTGTGTACCCGGCTGAACTCAAATAGAGAAATCACAGTCATGCAGCAGAGGTCAGCTAATTTCTAAAAGTTGTGTGTGTGTGTGGCTGAGATCAGTCTGTGTCCTCACTCCCGTCCAGTCGATGTGTTTGTGCGGACTGTGGATGACATATTTAAACAGCGAGAGCAGCCGAGAATTGGGCCAATCAGAAGGACATGCAGGCCTCATGCAGCTCCCTGGCACATGTAGAACTGGACTACTGTTCTGAGGTCTAAAAATAGATCACTTTAAATTCTATCATAGGACGCACGTCTCCCTGTTTGTCTTATAACCTGGCCTGATAGCTTTCATGTTCACTGCAGGCCGGACTCTAAGAGTGGTACTGGAAAGAGAAAGGAAACCTGTCTCGTGCAATAAAAACTTGCAACAGATCATCAGCAGTAGTGAGGAACATGCTGACATGACAATTTTAAAGAACTTTTATATGGGATGTAACCAGAGCTTTTCAGGACAACTCTACCATGCTCCACCACCTCTAAAGAGGTTTCACACCATTAAAACCCAGACTGACAGACTGAGAAGTTGCTTCTTTCCCCCGAGCTGTAGGCTCGATCACCCCCCCCCCCAATGGAAACATACTCCCAGCTGCTAGGCAGTGTTTCTAAATAATGTAGCACTACTGCACTTTAAACTCGCTGCAATACGGTCACTCTGTGCAGTACCGATTATTCATGTATCTTTCATATATATTTTGTGTTCCTTACTCTAGTCTTTCATCTGCTGTTTTTATATATTGTTTATGTTTTATCTTGTCTGTTGCTGCTGAGCTGCCTGTCACCACTGAAATGTTGTTGCATTGCACAGAATGCCAATAAAGTATATTTTCTTATCTAACTTTTCACAGTGATGTCTCCAAACTGCAGCCAGTCTTTACCTCGAGTCTAACTGACGAGTCAATTTAATACGCTGTGTTTGTGTTTAGCAGAAAGAAAACATCAACTTTAAAGGGAACATACCATGAAAAATCCACTTTTAGAGTGTTTTTGAACATTTATTTGGGTACCCTGAGTGTCTACTGACCCACAAAATGTGAAATAAACCCATCCAGTCCAGTTTGTGGTCTGCATAAGTCTTACAACACAGAGAAAAATGCTCTGTTTCTAATGTGCTCTCCTTGTGATGTCACAGTGGGATTCTGGTTAAAAAAGAAATCCCATTCCCTCCACTGGTATCTCCATCCATGGACTCCACCCCCAGCCTAGAACAAAACTTTTACGCAGGTCTGCCAATTTTATTCTTGCTGCAGAGGAGTGATGTCTAAAGGGAAAACTCAGGGGGGGCTCATTGCATTTAAAGAGACACACACACCAAAACGGAGCGTTCTGAGAGAGCTGGTTTATACAGGGTCACAAACCTCCTCTGGTGCTTGATTCATGTTATATTTTGACCAAAGCACAGCACAGATGTTTCATTTAGACCACAGGGGACTGTTTTAAGGGGACCCATGTATACAAAGCAAAGAGGATTAAAAAAATTAATTCCAGATTAATGTCTTCTCATACTGCTTAACTGCAGATACAGTTGAAATCCACTCAGTGGTGATTCTAGAGTCTGTGGGGCCCCAGGCAAAAATTTATTTGGGGGCCTTCCAACTAGTGTTCATAACGTTTATGTCTGCCAGTATCCCGACACAAACTCCCTTAATCAAATTTCTCCTGATTGAAGTATAAATGGCATGTGGAAACAAGGCTCAGGCTCCAGCAGCAGATTTGTCTTACAGTCAGTAAAAACACCTCGTGACCCCGTTAATCACCGCTGCCTCAAATAAATAAAGCAATTACAAGCCCTGTTTGACTGTCACATTCTCCAATTAATAGCTCCTTCAATCCTGTTATGTAGATCTTATGTGGAACACAATCACTTAGTAGTCAGCAAATGTCAGTATGCAATTAAAAAAACTGCAAGCTGTTACTTTAAATTAAATCAAAGAGAGTCTGTTACAGTAAAACATGCAAAAATGATTTGCAACTAAGGGAATCCTGGTGTTTGTTTAAAGCCTGGGCTCTACAATTACATATCTAAGTGTCTCAATGACTACGAAGGGTCATAGGTCGGTTGTGGATGACTGTGAGACCATGCTGAAGTGCAACATCCTGCAGTTCATTGATTGTCCACTAGAGGCTGGCTGCAGAAGCACAGGAAGTCACATACACACCCATTCGAAAGAGCAGAGGTTAACATGTTTACAGCCCGGTTAAAAAAAACCAAATAGGTCTGATTAGCTCATGTCTCGATCGACACACACTGTACAGGGGGATTTTCTGATAACTCATCTGTTTTGATTTGATGAATGATAAGAGGTAATCACAATTAGTCATATAGTTTATTTTTGTTAACCTCAACATAAGTATTTGAATTACTTAATTCAGGTCCATATTTGCTTTAGTTGCAATGACTTGAAAAGGAAAACAATCTGGGCAGCATAAGGGTCTTTATATGAGCCATGAAACAGCATTTTCTTGTAAAAAAAATATATCCCTCTTTTACAGGAAGATCTATATCTTTAGGGATCTTGATGTAATGTTGTCAGACACTTAATACATAATAACAATCTGGGGACGCCAGATAGCCTAGCGGTTATGTCGCGCCCCATGTACTTTTACAGAGGCTATATCCCTCTTTGCAGCGGCCATGGATTTCAATCTGACCTCGGCTCTTTGGAGCTCAAGCGGTGGAGAACATGTGACAGAACAAGGAAATGGAAAAAAAATAAAATGTTTAAAAAGGTCTTCATAGACTTTTTTACACAATTTTTCCAGGCACACATTCGCAACCCACAGAAAGCTTATCTGCAATCCACTTTTGGGTCCTGACCCACCAGTTGAGAATCACTGACTTAGACCTAAGAATTTGAGAATAGGGCTCAGGTTAAAACCCACCATAAATCCCTGTTAAATCTGGGTATTTGGGTCTTTTGGGAAATACTTCAAATACTGAACTCGTCAGCACGAGAGGTAAATGTCAGAGTGCAACGAAAAACAGACTTTTAGAGTCTGTTTTAAAGAGACTGCAATTGTGGCTCAAACTATTGAATCTCCTGTGTTAAAGAACTGCTCATAATCACTCTTTGGTAATGTCTGCTGTCAAACAGTCAATAGACATCATATCGTCATTGAGAGTGTGTCTCACTTACACTGACAAATGGTTGGACAGCACAATGTAAAATTGAACGGGTAAATGGCATGAAATGTCAGCATTGGCCCTTTCAAATTCATACAAAAGATGGCTAATGTATTTTTTAACAGATCCACGCACCGACAATTGTACTCTCTGGATTTCATCTTTCTTTTATTCATATAGCATGCATTATTGAGTGACAGGCTAACACCGACAACAACAGACAAAATATCTCCAGTCATCTGCTGCACACAGTGATGAGTTTCAGCTACATGTACCCTCCAAACTGATGCAGAATCTTACTGGGAATTACACATAGTGCATGAATACGCTAAGTAAACATGATCAAAATGGTTAGTTTAAAATGGCTCAGTTACCTGTTTGTTCATGAAGACGTATATGACAGGGTTGTACACAGTAGCTGTTTTGGAGAAGAAGGCAGGGATGGAGGCCATTCGAGGGTCCAGTTCGATGGTTGGATGAGCTGTGACCAGTATGGAGAAGGCTGCATACGGCGTCCAACCCACCATGAACGCTACAATCATCACCACCACCATGCGGGTCACTTGACGCTCTGGCTTCCTGGCTGTGGCCAGACGACCGTGAGACACCTTGAGGAGTCAGAGGACCAAATCTAAAGTCAGTTAACACACAGTTGACATTTTAGGATGTCTACATTCATCGCCTTGCATCACTTGCTTAAAATTCATGTCGGTTAACATAACATGTGAACATTAGCACCTTCAGATACCCCGTTAAACAGAACCCCGATAGGTATGTGCTCATAACATCACCTGGACTCTCACACATAGCTGCGGTTTGGTCTTAAACAAAAGAAAATCTTTGTTCAATAAACTCACAAATAGTTGTTAATGTTTACTTGAATAGGTAACAAACATTTTTAGCCGCTAATGCTGGCCTTACATCAAACAACATTTCAGTCAATTTCAAAGTCACAGTAAGCGTTGAGAGTTTTGTTAGAGTTGGGGGGTGCTCCTGTGATCTCAGTCGTTTGGTGTTAGGTGGTCATAAAACTTGATAAGAGCTGTTTTAAGGCAGTCTTGGTGTTAAAATAAAATCAAACAGGTTTAATATTATCACAGATCTTTAGTCTTGTCTTATGAAAAAAGTGTTGTTCAATGACGTGACCATCATCGACAACCTATAGAGTGGTCTCCCGAGCACCAAACAGGAAGCTAACCACGAGTAAACATGGCATTGAGGCGAAGGCATGTGAGGTACTCTTAGACTGATGAAAAGGAGGAGGAAGAGGTGGAGAAACCGAGAATGCCTCTTTGACATGACCTCTTCTTTGTACCACAATAGAGAGGCGGAGAAAAAAAGATGGACAGAAATAGTTGCAGTCCCTGAAAACCCTGCTGAGTATGCTATAGCTAGCTAGCTAGATACAGTAGTGTTATCGTATTTATGCAAAAGTAAAACCTTTCCTCCGGTAACAGACATATACTGAGTTGCATAAAGTGAATGTCATAAAGGTGGAGTCAGTAACATTGTCTGTTGTAGCTTGTGTAGTTGTCTTGGGCTCATCGCCCCTGGAAGAGCAACACTCACTGTAGTGTAAGCATGTCCGTTTACTGCTCGTATACTGCAAGCTACCGCACGCTAGCACAAGCTACTGGGACCACTGGTTTTTGTCACCTTACTCTCAGAACAGAAAGCAGACCAACTCTGCATCCAAAGGTGAAAGCCGACCCAAGGTTCACCTCGTTTAGGAAGCACTTGTTGTTTCCCCTCACTATGATAATATCTTCTCTTCTTTGCGGCCACGTCCCCCTCAGTCAAATTTGTCAGTCTGAATGGCATCCAATCACTGAATTGTATCCCCTCCTAAACTCACCTGCTCGCTTTTCATTGGCTGGAGGAAACACACCAGCTCCCCGCCCGAGTCAACCAAAACAAACCAAAACATGAAAATCCCATGGGAGGACAGAGTCTGTGCAGACACAGTCACCACCACTCATCTATGGAGACCCATAAGTGATGGCTGAGCGCCATTACTTTGGTATAAGGCTATTGTTTTAATGCAGGAAAGAGCTGCTAACTCTGCCTTTAAAGATTTCCATGTGTGTTGTTTAAGAACGCATACTGACCTTCCTGAGCTTCTGTAGGAGTTTTCCATAGCAGAAGAATATTAACCCGAGAGGAAGAATGAAACAGGTGCTGAAGAAGGTGATGATGTAGCTGTGATCCTTCATGTTGGTTGAATACCTGTACAGAGGTGGACAACAAACAAATGCACATTTTAAGAGCTTTACACTTGGTCACAAAGCCTGGCCAAACCTGACCATGGAAAACATCATTTGTAAGTATTAAACGTGATAAGTTATCAACAACACTTGTGCCTTTTAGAACAGACTGGTTAATAATCCCATAATTTCCCAGCTCAGAGCTGTCGTGAAATGTCATTCTGACATTCAGAGGCTTTTATCTCACTGGAGAAAAGGATGAAAGTGTTACTCATCATTTGAGCTTTAGTTAAAAGGAACATTTCACAGCTGGGACAAATATCTGTGACACAATTAGAGGCGCGCAGGCCTCTAATTTAGGCTCATTATGGTCATTTTCATTAGAATACCTTCCACAGTCAAATAAAACAAGCGTCTGATTAATAAGCACGGAGGTACCTGACAGACACAGCATGTATTTGTATTCATGAACCTTCCACATGTTGTTTTCATCAGTAAAAACGAGTGGCTGAGAACACGGGTCAACTCTCACCTGATTCCTCATGAATTTATGTGACACATATGTAAAATAGAAATTCATAATGCATGAAGATTTGTTTGGTTTGTTCATATTGCCCTTCTTACTCAAAATAAATCTTTCAGGCATCTGGTCAGTACCATAAGACAGCTTGTGTTGTGAAGGATTTATACGGTTTATCCGCACAAAGCCACTCTGAAATTCACAAAACCCTGATGTGTTGTATGACATGTAATTTTAAATGTCTCCCATGATGTAAGCCACTGTGGGCAGAATACGTAAAGGTTTTTATCTAACACTAACATGTGTCTTTCGTCCATCTACAAACCCCCCAATTATGAGAAAAGTCCATCCTCTCTGTCTTCTGCCTGCTCCACTTTTCAGAAAATGTGTGCTCAAACAGGCACATCACAAAGGGCAGTAACCCCTCCCCCAGGTGGGTGACACTCACACAGCTAGGTGTTTGTTCTGCCCTCTTTCTAACTGTAAACAATAGGACATGGAGCGAGAAAGCCCAAGCCACCCAAGCCCTTCCAGAGAGGGGGCGTGGTCAGACACAGCTCATTTACATTTAAAGGTACAGACATAGAAACAGCCTGTTCTGAGCAGGGCTGAAATAGAGGGGTTTATAGACATGATCAAATACAGGATCAGAGTGAATTTAGAACAAGAAACTTCACAGACATGTTTTGGGGAGATCTATTCATTATGTATGTTTCATACAAACATGCAACCCAGTGTGCACATGGGGAGGAAAGGAGGAAGAAAGTAGGTGTAAGTGCACTGCAGGTGGAAGAAAAGCACTGCTAAAACAAGCAAAGTAATGTGCTGAAAATAATCTAAAAGCAGCTAAAACTATCCAGAACTATCCCTTAATTACTGAAGTAAAAACGATTTGTCATTCTATTGAAGTACCTGAACAAAAAAGGCATTCAGTTTCTCTATTAGCAGTAATATTTAGTCAGCTGGGGCCACAAAATGTGTCCCCCACCTCCTTACTGAGCTCATCTGTATATTAGCCCGACAGAGCTGTCACCAGACAAACTGTCGTCTTTGATGAGGTGAATCATTTGCACAAGTCGAGCTGCTTCTGTCAAACAACCCCACAAAAATCTAATTACTGAAAAGAGTCAGTCTTCCCACCGCTGTCCTCCGTCTCTGTCAGTCTCCTCATTTTCAACTGAGGACTCAGTCTGACTTCACATTTGACAGTAAAGTTTTTGTGCAGGTGATTTCTATACCACAGGATGACAGCTAAATATTACAATCTACAATCTACACAGAAATATGACAGGGTTTACTTTTTTTTCAGGTGAAGATCCTTGTATTTAATCTTGTTCGTTTCTCAAAGTGCTGCAGAAAATCTCAAACCTGTCACCATCTCACAAGAAGCAAACGTTTAACATACTGCCTACACAACACAGAGATGTTAGTTATGTTCAACAAAAATCCTGATAACAACACAATATATGCATGTTTTACACTCTGATATTGAGCGACATTCTACTCACACACATAGGCCCAAAATACACACACATGCAAAAACTGGACCTATGGACTGAGCTGTTGGGGGTTCGGTGCTTTGCCCAAATGACTTGTGCTCTACCCTGGAAGTGACCTGACATCTCTCCAGCCACCAGACCAACTCCCCTACTTTAGTCTGGTCCGTGACTTGAACCAGAAACCCTCTGGTTCCTAACTCTAGTCCTTAAAGATGAGCTTCTGCCGCCCCCTTTTATAAGAAATAATTCAGTAATTGAAAATTAGGCATTATTCGGGGCATGTTTGATGTTACTGACAGGCGTTGTAGTTGTTTGTCAGGACGCTCAAGGCTTAGCTCGACCTGTTAGCCTGTTTCTAGGTTGATAGAAAGTGAGGTTGAGACAGAGTTTCCAATATGGCGACTGCCATCATTGGGCTTCAAAAGGCTGCTGCAGAAAATGATGGATTGCATCACTTAGGCTGCGTCCATGTTTTGTACAGTCCATGTGTAAAACAGTCTTATGATGACTTAATGTCGCTGAGGGGACGAGGTCAAAGTTAAGAACTTTGTTGGAGTGTTAAATGGGGCAGGGCAGAGAGAGGCCCGTTTGACGATAGCGCTGAAGAAGTGCTGGAGTGATTTAGTCCAGCTCTGACCGGGAATCTTACTCAAGGGACAAATGAGACAGCCCTTTCTCCCCCTGTAAAGTGAAAATCCTCAGCTTCTATATATTTTACAGTGACTGTCTGCTAGAATGCAGATCTTGATGCCATGGTACTAGATAAAGTCAGACTTTAAACACACCCACAATTTCTGTTTTTGAAAGAACATCTCAAAACACTGAGAGACTGGCTGTTGCAAAATCAAGTCAATCTCCATCCAAACACTGATAATGAATGCATGATAGCAGGTAATCTATCTGCTGCATGTGTGCACATTTCCCCAGTAAGGGGAAGACCGGAGTACTGAAAGGGATTTTTAAAACAATATATTGTCTGTAGATTATATCCAAACCCTTACCAAGGCCATAGGCTCCTACAGACAATCCACTGACAGACCTCTCCTGCACAATCACTCTTGACCTCTGCATGTGTGCTACTTTACATTCAGATGGAGTCCTGTGTTGAATATCTACATGCATCTGAAGATAAAAAGATGCACTGAATGAGGCTTTTAAAATGCATCCGGCTATACATGTGGCAGCTTTCTGCACCTGTAACAGCTGTGCCGCTTCAGGTCCCACTGTTCACCGAATGTTTACTGACAGATCTCACGCTGGGTGCAGTTAGAGGAGGATCAGGTCATCTATGCACCAGGTTTTTCCAGAAGGTGATGTCTTAATTGTATTGTCTGAATCATTCATTCCCCCTGTGCTTCATCTGAGCAGTGGTTCCCACACACGGCTCGGGCCAACACTCCCCTCCTACCTGCACACCTTTGATCAAAGCTGTTAAATTACCCAGATGGCACCCTGAGGGCCAAGGTCAAAGCCGCCATGCTTTCTGATGTTCTCTTTGAGACGACTTTACACAGTGTGAGTCTTTAGTTGAAGCTGCGTTGCATATCTGAGCCGCAGGGCTGAGTGTAGACTGTCTGTTACCTTTATCCGTTTGTGTGCAAGGTGGGTGGTAAGAAAAGTATTGTTATGTATTATTAAAATGTTATTTCTGGGTTACAGCTTTAGTTAAATCACTTCATTTCATGCTGATGGCTAAAGTCTGGTTTAAGAGGTCAGTTGAGGGTTACCTTAAAGCTGCTACAGATCAAATGTACAGCTGTGTTCAGACCATTTTGCTGCTTTTAATCAAAACAAATGGGTCAAAAAGATGATGAAAAAATAACAAAATGTAGCTCTGTAAAAAATAGAATTCAAACTTTGTCAAAAGAAAACAACTAATGGAGCTCAGTATACATTCAAGAAGAAAGACTGCTTATATTCTCTTATATCTTCATTCAGCTTAGCCCCTCCCTCTCTACCTCTTCCTCCCTCTCCCTGCTCTGGTGATCAGCTGATTTGGGGCGTTGACTCTTTAAGTAATAATCAAGCCTGACTCTGCCACAACCTCTCTCAAACAATCATCCTGCTGAGGTCAGATTTTAAAACCTGTTCCCTCTCTTCCACAGTCAGTTTGTCATTTCAGTTCGATCTCTGTGACCCTCCTCCCACCGGTCACCTCCATTCCAGCTCAGCAGAGTCCAGATCCAGCCTCAGAAACCCACTCCTCATCACATCCTGCTTTCTTCTATCACCACCAACACCAGGGTCTAGACTCCATAGGAGGGTATCACCACTACCACCAGGGTCTAGACTCCATAGGGGGTATCACCACTACCACCAGGGTCTAGACTCCATAGGGGGGTATCACTACTACCACCAGGACCTAGACTCCATAGGAGGGTATCACCACCAACACCAGGGTCTAGACTCCATAGGAGGGTATCACCACTACCACCAGGATCTAGACTCCATAGGGGGTATCACCACTACCACCAGGATCTAGACTCCATAGGGGGGTATCACCACTACCACCAGGGTCTAGACTCCATAGGGGGGTATCACCACTACCACCAGGGTCTAGACTCCATAGGGGGTATCACCACTACCACCAGGGTCTAGACTCCATAGGGGGTATCACCACTACCACCAGGGTCTAGACTCCATAGGGGGTATCACCACTACACCAGACTCCATAGGATCACCACTAGGGTCTAGACTCCATAGGATCACCACTACCACCAGGGTCTAGACTCCATAGGGGGATATCACCACTACCACCAGGGTCTAGACTCCATAGGGGGGTATCACCACCACCACCAGGATCTAGACTCCATAGGGGGTATCCTATCCTGCTGTCGTCCTCATTACCCCTCTGAGTACATGAAGTCGTCATGATGGAGTCTAAGAATTTGCACATTTATTTCCTAAATTGTTAAATAAATAACAGTTAATCCGGTTAATTAATTAAGTCTCTGCTGATTGAAATATAATTCTTGTGTTTGTGGATGAAGTTTGGATTGACCATTTTTGATATTTTAACTGGTCCAAAAAAATCAGTTTATTTTGGTCTGAACACGACTTACAGTAAGGTAGAACAGTGGTTTAATGACTTTGTGTGATCCAAGTGGGCCTCCCATTGTGATGAACCGTCAGAGAATTTGGTTTTAAAGCTCACACCTTTACTATTTTGTTCCAGCTTCACCACTTTAAAGGCTTTATATGCGACTTTTTGATCCAGCAGATGTCGCCCTTGAGCACCAGCATGAAACCAAAACAACTCGCGCTGCATTGTTGTGTTAGCATGCTAATGCTAGCGATCTTTATTATGCTCGTATCTTCACACTGCATGTGAATTTACACGAAATGACCGTGACCTAGAAACGCTAACGTGACATTCAATTAAGCAGTGAGTACAGTATGTTATTCTTCTTTTCTCTAGTCCCTCAATTAAACAACTTTCATACGAGAGGGGAGGAGTCGGACGCCGGCCCGGCAATGTAAACAAACTGAAGCTACAGCTAGGAAAGCTTGGAAAACATCACAGACACCCTTTTCACACATACGGAAATCTCCTGAAAAACTCCAGAGATTTGGCTACCCGCAGGGGCTTTAGACTATGTGTGAATGCAAACAGCCGCATTTTTGGCGCAGACTTTACCCGGAGTTTCTCCAGCCAGACCCCTAGTATTTTTTCTGCAGAAAGTCCGAGTGAGCTGATGTCTGAACGTGGCAGCATATACTCCATAGATTTCAACTTGAGCCAATAGAAAGAGAATGACGTTTATATACAGTGACTGCCTTAAGTGTCTGCACGCGACCTCTACGATCACGTAATTAAACGTCTGCATTCTGTTTTCTGTTCGTCAGTTGTTGTTCTCCTCTCTTTTGTGGATGTTGTCATTCCATTGGATTACACATAGTATTGATATAAAGGCAAATAATCTCATTATAACGTTGTGTAGTGGACTCTGTTGCTTCAGCCGCTACTTCCGCGTTGTTTATTTACGTCACATATTACTGAGTGCCCCCCCCCCCCCCTGACAGGGAAAGTCCCCCGCTGTGAGGAGCATATGTGTACGGCTAGGTCGGGAGAATCTCCGGAGTGGTCCTCCTGTAATTATCTAGATATTATCCGGAGTGCATATGTGAAAACAGCTAGACAGTGGGACTCGGGTGTTACACTCATTGTAGACAGTCATGACTCACAGAGTTATTTTCAGAGGATATACTTGATTTCTATTACATTTAAGTGTGAAAAACTGCATATTAAGCCTTTAAATGACCAAGTTGCATTGTTTAAAAAAATGCTGGTTAATAATAATAAACCCCATGTGTGCTTTCTTTGAGAAAATAAAGACAAACAACTGAAAAACAAAGTCAAGTGTCGCTCAGCTAAAGAGCCAGATCTTTCCCTGGTGATTTGGTGGTAACCAAACAGAGCTGAAAAGAGCGTGATCCTTGAACATTTATTGATAGAGTGAAAAGAAACACGACCACAAACAACAGCTCTCTACAAATCGATGTAATAGAAGCTGCAGCACAGACTTCTGGAACTGTCAATAAACTGCACAGCAACACAGATTATTTGATTGATCTTTATACGATATTTCGTAGCCAAGTGGTTAAGTGGACACTAGAGGAACTACAGTTTTTGAAACTTTGACCCTGGCCTAATTCTTCAGACCCAATGTTTTCTGTCTGATTCTTCAAAGTATTATCTACATATTTTCAAATATTGCTGTATTGTTAGTAAAAAAATTCTGTGTCTGGAGCATAGAAGGTGAAACCTGTCATTTTAAAATGACAGTAAAGTCGATCCTTGGATAAGTTTAGCGCCTTGTGCCTACAAACCTCAGTGTCAGCCTTTTTTTTCAAGACTGCAACAAAACTGGCAAAAGCATGAAGTGTGTTGACCCTTGAGGATAAATGTGTCTCTGTTGTCTAACATTATAAAGAATCAAAGTTCTTTATTGAGATCATAAATTGCTCGTCTCTCACCAGTCGGGCTCGCAGGTGGTCCCGATCTTGCTCACAGTGTATCTGTTCCAGCCCAGCACCGGGGGGAAGGTCCAGATGAAGGAGAAGGACCAGACGAACAGCAGACCCAGGGAGGCGTGCTTGGCCTGCAGTCGGAAGTTCCCCAGAGGTCGACAGATCACGAAGAATCGTTCAAAGGAGAGGATGGCCAGAGACCACAGAGCCACGATCCCTGAAGCAAACAGCAGGAGGTCAGAAACACCAGACACCAAAACCTGAGATTTGTTTTTAATATCGATGAGGATCTCCAGTCTGTAGGTTTCATCTGTTATCAATGCAGTGACAACACGAGAATAAAGTCGTAAATTGACGAAATTAAACTCGTAGATTTACTTGTAAAGTCAAGTTCTTGTAAATTTACTATTCAAAAATTTTAGAATTTTTTTTTGCTTTAATGTGGCCCTAATCTTCCGTCATATTCCATGTATATAAAACAAAGAAGAACATCCATTTATTGAAGACGCTTGGCCTAGAACATTTTTAACATTTTTGTAGAAAAATCAGATACTATGTATCAGTTATCATTGCAGCTCTTGTTTTATGACTTGTTGTTGATTCATTTTGTTCTGTTTTAATTGTTGCTGTGAAGCTATTTTTGGCTCTAAGTTTGTCTGAAAAGTGCTGAAATAATAAAGTTACGGCGTGGTTCTTTTTTTTGCTACATGCAACAAGGAGTCTGTTGACAACATCTCCCTCTAGTGTGATCATGTTTCTAACTTCCTGACAAAGTACTTCAGCTCTGCTCTGTGCACAGGTAAAAGTGGCGGCACTGTTCCTTGAAATAGTTTCATGATCGGGGGGTCGGGGATGTAGGTGCATTAGGCTGCCTCCTAATGGGCTAAAAAAAGCCAGCTTTAATTATAGTAATAAGTCACTCTCTCAGAGCGGTTAATTACCTATCTCTCTCCACAGCCAGCACTACAGCCGGCTCACAGGAGAGGACAAAGGAGAGAAAGGAGGAAATCAGGCCATTCAATTATGTCACACTCGTTTACGACAAGAGTCTCTGAAGAGGTTCACTGAAACAATTAACGCCCAAACTACATCGATGTTTATGTAGCTTACCATCAAGAGTGTGTTTTTAATAGAAAAGCGTCCATGCTGTTCAGTTTCGTTTTTTAAAGAATTCATCTGTACAGCCCAGGTGTGACTAAAAATAGACACAGAAAATATTCTCCCCCTGAGCAGCATATTAAGTGGAGCATCCATCCTGCTCACTGAGAGGACCAGCTCAGCTAAATCAGCCTCTCATTTACACACACACGCACACACACACACAGGTGACACCACTGCAACACACCTGTCAATCCCTGAAACTGCTGTCAAGTCTAGAAGTAGAGTGGCCTCCTGAAGATAGACGCCACACCTCAGCGTGTTATTGATTAAACATCAGCATGGCTTCAACAGGACGATTTATTTGTCAAATTGTTTCTTATTGCGTCACTCAGCTCTGCCCTCTCCTCCAGTCGTTGCACGGCTCTACAAATACTGAAACACTGCCAAAATATTTGTGCAATTCAGAAATTGCACAAAAACATTTAGTAATTTTAAAAAAGAAATTGCCCACTGTTGGGTGTCTTGTTTTGTTGGGGGAACACTCACCAACACAGCCATCCCAGTAAACTAGCGTCAAACCCAGTGAATAAGTTTAGTGTCTATTTTCCCCCTAAAAAGTGGTCGCCGTCCTGTATACAGGTGCGACCAGTTTAAAATGCTGACACATGCACCTTCAAGACTGCAAGTGCAGCTGCCACCATGACACATTGTACAGGACCTGATGTGATTAAACATGTTCCCCCATTAGCTGTGCAAAGCATGCTGGGATACGGCACCACTTTCAAACAGCTTTTCTTACATTATCAGGTCCTGCATTTAAAGAAACGGTGTAATCAAGTGTAAATAAACCTTGTGGAGAAGTGATTTGATTGGAAAGCTAGCAGGATAGCAAACTCCACACAGTTAAAACGAAAAACTACACAGCTGCACAGAAAGCGCATGTTGTGGACTTTGCTGAACATAATAGAAATGTTTACACAGGAACCTCTTTAACATCTGGAAGTCCCCCCTTGAAAACAGACTGTGTCTTACATACCAGTGTGTCTCATATTCTGGATTTAATGGAAACTGGTTTTTAGTGTTAAGAGTTTTTTTTAAATAATTCTGAACTTGATTGGGCAGCACTATCAATCAATCAATCAATCAATTTTTATTTGTATAGCGTCAACTCATAACAAGTGTTATCTCAAGACACTTTACAAAAAGCAGGTAAAATACCTTACTCTTTGTCTGTTAACATTACAAAAGAGCAGGTAAAAAGACCTTACTTATTGTTATGTTACAAAGAGCAGGTTAAAGACCTTACTCATTGTTATGTTACAAAAAGCAGGTTAAAGACCTTACTTATTGCTATATTACAAAGACCCGGCCTATCCATCATGAGCACTTTAGCAAAGCAGCAAAAGTTACAGTGGTAAGAAAAAACTGCCTTATTAAAAGGCAGAAATCTTCGGCTGGATCCCCGGCTCATGATGAAACAGCCTTCACAGGCCTAGACTGCGCCGGGCTTGGAAGGGGATAGGGGAAGAGATGGGATAAGATGCAGGAAGAGGGATAGGGCGCAAGGGGGTGGGGGGAGGCAAGCCGTCCATCAACAATACGGTGGGGAGGGGGGTTGTTCTGGCAAGCTGTCCATCAACAATCCGGTGGGGAGGGGGGTGGGGTGGTGGACCTAAGAGAGCTCAAGAGCTTGCAGGAAAGTAGGTGGTTAGTGACTGAGATTTACAGATAGATACATGCATATGATGTACTGTATATGCACAGAGAGAGAGGAGCTCAAGGTGCCAGTTCCCCCGGTAGTCTAAGCCTACAGCAGCATAACAAGGAGCTGGTCTACACCAGCACCAGCCCTAACTATAAGATTTATCAAAAAGGAAAGTTTTAAGTCTATTCTTAAAAATACAGACTGTCCCTGCCTCTGATAACTGAAGCCTTTACCTCCCATAGTACACTTAGAGACTATAGGTACCACTAGCAGGCCTGCATTCTGGGGACTGTAATGTTCTCGAGGGGTAGTACGGCACTAGTAGCTCCTTAAGATAAGATGGTGCCTGGCCATTTAGAGCTTTGTAAGTGTGAAGAAGGATCTTAAATTCTATTCTAGATTGTAAAGGGAGCCAGTGCAGCGAAGCCAACACAGGAGTAATGTGGTCCCTTTTCCTAGTTCTAGTCAGTACACGAGCTGCAGCGTTCTGGACAAGTTGAAGAGTCTTTAGAGACCCACCATAGCACCCTGACAAAAGAGAATTACAATAATCCAACCTGGAGGTAACAAATGCTAGTTTTTCTGAATCATTTTGCGACAGGATATTCCTGATCTTGGATATATTACAAAGGTGAAAATAGGCTGTTTGCCTGATGTGAAGTTTGCCTGATGTGAAATTTTCCTGATGTGAGAGCTAAAGGACATATCTTGATCAAATAGAACTCCTGGATTCCTAATGGTGGTGCTAGATGCCAGGTTGATGTCATTAAGTACAGTCACATCACTAGAAAGAGTCTCTCTGAGGTTTTTAGGGCCTAGCACAATAACTTCAGTCTTGTCTGAGTTAAGTAGCAAAACATTTCTGGTCATCCAGGTCCTAACGTCCTTAAGGCACGTTTCTAGCTTACATAACTGATTGGTGCCATCTGGCTTCATTGATACATAAAGCTGAGTATCATGTGCATAACAATGAAACTGTATAGAGTGTTTCCTCATAATATTTCCCAGAGGAAGCATATATAATGTAAAGAGAATTGGTCCAAGAACTGAACCTTGTGGCACTCCATGGCTAACTTTGGTGTGCATAGAGGACTTATCATTAACATGTACAAACTGAGATCGGTCTGATAACTAGGATTCAAACCAACTTAAAGCAGTCCCTGTAATTCCAAGTAAATGTTCTAGTCTGTATAATAGGATCTGATGGTCAATAGTGCCAAAAGCAGCACTAAGATCTAATAAGACGAGCACAGAGAGAAGTCCCCTGTCTGAAGCTAGAAGTAGATCATTTGTAACTTTAACTAGTGCAGTCTCAGTGCTATGGTGGACTCTAAATCCTGACTGAAACTCCTCAAATAAACTGTTGTCATGGAGAAAGTCACACAGCTGATTAGCTACCACTTTTTCCAGGATCTTTGAGATAAAAGGAAGGTTGGATAAAGGACTATAGTTTGCTAGAGTTCCTGAATCTAGAGTAGGTGGTTTTTTGAGTAGAGGTTTGATTACCGCTACTTTAAATGACTGTGGTACATAGCCTGCCAGTAAAGACATATTGATCATATCTAATATAGAGTTGCTAACTAAGGGAAATACTTCCTTAAACAGCTTGGTTGGGATTGGGTCTAAAAGACAAGTTGACGGTTTCAATGCAGAAATAATTGAATTTAGCTCTGAAAGGTCGATTGGAGAAAAACAGTCTAGATTAATATCAGGTCCTGGAACTGTCTCTGCCATATCAGATGTATCTGCACCAGGTAAGGGCAGGAGGTTACCAATTTTGTCTCTGATGTCTAGAATTTTGTTGTTGAAAAAGCTCAGGAAATCATTACTGCTGAGGGCTAAAGGAATACAAGGCTCAATGGAGCTATGACTCTCTGTCAGCCTGGCTACAGAGCTGAAAAGGTATCTAGGATTGCTTTTGTTTTCCTCGATTAGGGAGGAGTAGTAGGCAGCTCGAGCGTGACATAGAGCCTTCATATATCTTCTATGACTATCCTGCCAGAACAAACGAGATTCTACCGTTTTGGTTGAGCGCCATATTCTTTAAAAAATTTGCGACGATTGTTTTAGAGTACGGGTTTCTGAGTTGAACCATGGAGCTGTTCTCTGCCGTTTGATAACCTTCTGTTTTAGGGGAGCAATCAAATCAAGAGTAGAGTAACTCTCAGCGAATCCACAGCACTATCAAAATACTGATCTAGCTGAGAGGGACTAAAGCTATCATAAGAGTTTCCAACTAGGTTGACACATGGTACTGAATCAAAAGCAGCTGAAATAGCTTCCTTAAATCTAGCTACAGCACTATCAGATAAACTTCTGGAGAGCACATTTTTATTAAGCAGAGATAATTCTGGTAGGACAAAGTCGAAAGTAATAAGGAAATGGTCTGATAGAAGAGGATTTTCTAGGAAAACTGTAAGGTTTTGGATTTCAATGCCATAAGCTAAAACAAGATCCAGGGTGTGGTTAAAACAATGAGTAGGTTCATTCACACCCTGGGTGAAACCAATAGAGTCTAATAATGACATGAAAGCTGTGCTAAGGCTATCATTATCAACATCCACATGGATATTGAAGTCACCTACAACAATTATTTTATCACTGCTAAGGACTAAATTTGATAAGAATTCTGCAAATTCAGATAGAAATTCAGAATATGGGTCAGGAGGACGGTAAACTACAACAACTAGAACTGGCTGAAAGATTCTTGAGACTGGATGTGAAAGACTAAGAACAAGGCTTTCAAAAGAAGAAAAATTCAGTGTTGGTCGAGGGTTAACTAGAAGACTAGAATTAAAAATAGTTGCTACTCCACTACCTCGTCCGGTGTCTCGAGGTATATGAGTACTAAAATGACTGGGAGGAGTGGATTCATTTAAAGTAACATATTCATCTCAACACAGCCAGGTTTCAGTCAAACAAAGAAAATCAATATGCTGATCTGATATCAGAGCATTCCCTAAAAGAGATTTGGATGGTAAGGATCTAATGTTCAAAAGTCTGCAATGAATTTTAGATTTTTTGCAAAATTGTATTCGTAGTTTTGATTCTAATGAGATTTTGACGATTTACGCCTTTTTTTTCTACGTTTGGATGACTTATAAAAACGGGTCTGGACCGGGGGACAGACACAGTACCTATATTATAACTACAGTTCGATTCAGAATTACAGCTATAGTGGCTGGGAGGCGCAGAGAAGCGTGTAAGACTGCAGCTCTGCATTAGGCTGTGCCAACTTCAAGATGCTTTTATTTGTCGACCATTCTTTGACTGAAAGTATCTGTTAGAGGGATTTTAGAGGCGGTAAACTCCACAACACACTAATTTATAGATGCTCTAAATACAGCTGATACTCTGGGATGATGATCGTTTCCAGATCCACCTTCTTTTCTGAAACAAAAAGATGGCCACAAAAGGATCAACTCAAGGCTTCATCATACTGTAGCCCGTTCAGCATGGACAATATTTCGGTGCCTGGATCTCCTTCTTACCTACATCAGCGGATTTGTCAACACCCTATGAAGCAGCAGGTCATAGCAAAGAGCTAACATGAGAACTCCCAATGAGGACCAAAGCTGTCTCATTACAGCACCTCCTGCAAAACTATTTCACAAGAAAGTTATTTGAAAACAGAAATGTTCCTCCTCAGCATCAATATAAATGACTCTTTTCTTGCAGTTTGGCGGCATGTACCAGAGACATCCTGTGACTCTCCAGCTCTCTGAGCTGCCAGAACAGGACCTCACAAACCTTGTTACAGAATCCAATAAGCAAGTCTTTGCCTGAGTTAGTCCAGTATTTTCTTCACCCCTTGACTTCCAGTTCTGCAGGCTCCTCAGCAGGCAGCCAGAGTCCCACCAAACCAACCAGTGACTTAGGTAAATGTTATTGGTGGTCACGGTACACTGTGAAACTACTTATGACCAGTCATGCTCTGCACTGTGAGAGGCAGCTGGGGAGCGTGGCTTTGAATTCTGCCCTAAACACTCAACATCGGGTTACTGTTCTTACAGTCTATTTATATTCACACCTCACAGCAGAGCAGCGAATTCAATGAAGGTTTTTATTTTATCTTGATAATTCAGAACACAAACCAGCATATGATCACTCTTACGTTTTGTTTTTTTGACACCAGAATAAGGCTAAGAAACTAAATTTTCATTCTTGAGCATATTTACATCTTGTTTTTTTTGTTGTTGTTGTTGTTGTCCTGTTGTTCATAAACAAGCCACGAACCTTTCAACCATTCAAATGTTTGCACACACTGATGCTCCTTATCCCAGTCCTGCATGCTCTTGTTAGATTCATTCAAGCTTCATGTGGAACATTTTTACTCAAATTAATTCTGAAGCTGATAAAAGAAGAACTTTCTAATTGTATAATCACATATTAGCATTAAGAAACTCTAAACTCTTTGATGATGTCTTTGCTGCAGTCTTTCAGTATAACTTCATTCACATAAATCTTTGGAGAAGCTGGGGAATAAAACAGGTGCCAACACTGTGATCATCAGTTGAATTTTGGCAGTGGCTTTAATGGAACTGATTTGTCTTCTTTATTTCACCTTTCCTCCAGATGTTATAACTTCTGAACAGATGTTGAAGTGAGAGCTGAGGATGCGCCATGTGGAGCTGTTTGACACACATCTCTGCAACATGTGAGCTCCAAGGCTGACACCTACAGTTACCCTGGAAGTTGTTTTTTTTTATCATCCCTGCATTTATAACACCGTTGAAGAGAGAAAAGAGAGGTTAACCTACCGAAAAAAGTAACAGCAAACCCCTCCAGGACGCACGCCCACCTCCCCAGGAAGAAGTAACCTCTGGCGTTCGTCAGGAAACTTATTAGTCCGCCGGTGAGCGAGACCAGAAAGTCCGCGATGGCCAGGTTCACTATGATGTAGTTCAGAGGCTGCCGGAGCTGTTTGAACTTGAAAGTGACGAACATGACGAGGAAGTTTTCGCTCAGAGACAACGAGGTGACAACGAACATGAGCACGGCCAGGACCGTGAAGTTCCACGGAGCGATGTCCCTGATGGGTCCGCTGAACGGATCATCAGTGGGGGCGACATCTGCCGCCACAGTGTAGGAGACCGCGTTCACTGAGAGGCTTAAAGTATCCATTGTCCATGCCCGGGTGCACAAAAAAATCCGGTTTGTTATTTTCTCAAAACTTCACGTGGAGTGTCTTGTGGAATGTCGCGCTCACTTCTCTGCACTGTGGAGCTTCTTTGACAAAGTTTCTGGGTTTAAACCCTTGTTGACGGACGTGCATGGTTCGAGCTCGCGCCCGACAGAACTGTGGCGTGAAGCCTTTGGACAGCGTGTCTCTAAAAGTGTGAGTGAGCGGAGGCAATGTCCCGGAGAGCGCTGGCAGCAAGTGCGTGAATGACCGATCAGTGGCATCTTGAGGGCTCTTATATAGGCGCTCCGACATCAGCGCTGCCCTGCAGGAGAGGCGAGAGGACCCACATGTGCGCTCCTTTTGCGCGCTGCGGACACTCAGCAGCGTTCAGCTGTATCGCCTCCAATCTGCCCTCTCCACAGCCCCACACTCACACCCAGGATTAATGAAACAAGCGACTCTTTGTTCTAGTCCTGGAATTACACACCAGGCTCAGCGGCGTTCCAGTGCGTAATTCATTAATCATGCGTAATTAGGCACCCACCAGGCTGATTGTGGACTTTGCTTCATTCATAATTTCACGTGACCCTGTTTTACACATTATGTGTCACAGGAAAATGTTCTGCTTTTAGGCTGCTTAATTGATATATATGCACACAAAAACACTTCCACCAGAACCACCTGCTCACTAATCATATCATGAGATTTGAGAAACACTGGGAGCATCCGAATTGTCCCTCCTATCTCCTTTCACTATCCACTTTACCTTAACCCCGGGGGAAACGAAATGAGGTTAAGGAAAGATGTTAGGAGAATTCATAAAGGACTTAGGGAAAGGCGATCTCGCTGCTCTGACAATGCGACCACATTTCCACTAGGCGACGTCATTAAATACGGTTAATGACGTGGGTCCACCGTGTTGAAACTACAATGTTCCGAAAATGGACTACTAAAAACGCATCTAAAAAATTTTCTCCTGTGCCTTCTTACCGGTGAAATAATCCTAATCACCACAATTTGGGATTGAAATAAAATAATGATAGACTACCAGGCTACAAGTAAGAAAAGTGAAACCATCACCTTCCTGTCCACTCATAAATCAACATCAAAATAAATATGATTGTATGAAATTAATTATTACATTTATGTAAGATATAGCCTACACATAATGTTTTAAGCATACAAATGTAAAACTGCACAAAACATTCTTAAGTGAATGAAATATGTTGAATAAAACATCATAAAAATGTCTCTTATCTTTTATCTCTTACATGATCTGTGTCACTTCACGATCATCGTTCATGTTCCTGAACGGTCGGATGCGCGAGTCGCTTTAAATGTTGGGGCCGCAAAGAATTGTGGGGCGGCATATCTCGTCTCCTTTCGTAAAGGATGGTCCAGTGTATCCTAAGTTAAAGGAGGTTATAAAGGAAGCACTGACCCACCTTTCCTTAACTTTTAGAGAATTCAAACGGCTCTTATCATGGCTGCCACTTAAATGCTTCCGGGTCATTTCACTCAGTTAGGAACCTTCCTAAGAAAAAATGACAATTCGAACGCACCCACTGTCATTCATCTATTTCAGTCCTGTGTCCAAAGATATAAAATGTTATTAACCTTTATTTAACCAGATAAAGAACCCATTGAGATCAGGATCTCTTTCACAAGGGTGACCTGGCCAAGAGGTCAGAGATGTCAAGAGAACAGTTACAATTAAGTGACAGTACAGATTAACAACAAAGTGTTTTCAATAAAAAGAAAGTGTGGGAGCTGTGACAACAATAAAACAACAATTTAAGATTTTAAAAACACAGGCACTGTTCAATGGTCTCATGCTGTCTGTCCCTCAAGACAGAACGGAAAGCTCCAAGAGGAATAAGTTCAGGGAGTTTTAGTTCAGTCTGTAGAGTATTCCATGCTGAGGGGGCAGCAAAGCTGAAAGCTCTTTTTCCTAATTCAGTCCTTACCCGAGGAACTGATAGAACAAGTGTAGTACAAGAATGCAGGGCATAGCAACTGCTTGTTCTCCACAATAAAGCACACAAATATAAAGGAATCAAGCCTAAAAGAGCCTTATAAATTAGGTTGTTAATGTTAATTTGTTAATGTGATGCAGACTGACTCAAACTGACAAATACTTAATTAAACTGTGATATCGCCCTGAAAAAAACAAGCATGAGCATCTGCTGTATTACAGAGGAGGCACTGACACATGCAACTTGGCTCTCTGTTGTCAAAGTACTCTGGGAATAATTTCCCTGGGTGTTCATTGTCTTCTTTGGGCCTCTCTCACACAAGTAGAAGGTGGCGACATGAGCGTGGCTTTGGCATTCCTGCAGAGCAGCTTTACAGTGCAGTTTTACTCAGAGCAAAAAGAGGCCAGTTAGGCATTTGATGGCACAGATACAACTTTACTAAAGCCAATGTTGGACACATATTGAGAAGCTTCTCCCGGGAGACATCCAACAGAGGGGAGCAACGTTTTAACTTGCTGGGCTTCATGCTGTCAGGAACTGAAACTTTGAGGCACAGCGCAGACTGGACTCATCATGTTTTCTCGTCTTTACTACGTCTTTACCAGTAGTTTCACAAAGTAGGTCACAATTTGCTAGAAGTGTGGAGCTGTGTGTTTTTATGTTTTGTAAAGCCAATGCCACACCCCACCTGTCATAACTCCCTAAACTAATATAATCTTTAAATACTAAAAGACCACACCTCAAACATCACATAACATTTCAGTTTTGTAATTATTTAAGCACACCTTACTCTTACAGCATCCCTCACTCCTAAACTGATAAAGGAAGAACTTTGTTATTGTAAAATCATATATTAGCATTAAAGGAAGAGTGTGTGACACTTTTTCATCAAGTAGATGTCTCATTTAAGCACCAGCATGAAACCAAAACAAACTGCTGTTTGGCCACACCTCCTCTCTCCTCCAGCGACACACCTCCAACCCCTCTCCACTCACGTTCACACAAAGGAATAATGCACACGCGGTTGACATATTTGGCACGAGCTCAAATTGCATGTTAGCTGCCTTGTTGTGTTAACAGGCTAATGTTAGCACGCTTTATTTAGCACATAGCTTCACATTGTATGTAAATTTGCACAGAATGACCGCGATCTAAAAACACGTACTTGACAACCAAATAATCAGCGAGTATGTTCTGCTTCAGCGACACACCCTCTCCACTCGTGTTCGCATGAAGGAGTTGTGAATGAGAACACACCATAATTAAGCACCAATAAGCACAAGCTGTGGACAAAATTATTCTTGGCTCGAGCAGCAGTTGCCTTTTTCCTGCACTGGTCTGTTAGCAGGCTAATGTTAGCACACTTTGGTTAACTCAAAGCTTCATATTGCACAGAAATTAGCACAGAATGACTGTGATCTAAAGTGCAGGTCCAGTGGGTGTTACATCAGGTTATGGTCACTTCTAAAGTAATGAGCATTGTCAGGGCCTTTAGAGGATGAAAGAAAAGGAGGCCAGGATACATCAGCGTTTCCACCAGAAAGTTATTTGTTCTGGACAACATCTTATTTATTATAAGAGAATAGGGAGAAGAAGGAGAAACATAGAACCTGAGAACATGTCTTTATGTTTGTGCAGACCATGAGATTGTCATCAGACCCTTAGCAAACAAAGATTGCAAAGCTCTCTCGGACAGTAAAGATAATAAAAAATGGAACCAGCTCCCCTCAGGTGTTGCAAAGAGGTCTCGTGTTGACCAAAACATTGTGAGAACAATCGTAACAAACTGTTTTTCTAGGTCACTATGAAGTCTGTTGATCTTGAACCATTTGGTGTGAAAAAAGTCATTACTTAAAGCATTTTATAACAGTGTAGTTGTAAATTCATGTTTGAGGTATGGCCAAAAAGTGGGTTAGGAGATCACATGGATTAAGAGAGTTAGATAGATAGATACTTTATTGATCCCGAGGGAAATTCAAAGTGTTTTTCGATCCCTAAATTCTAACCAGTTTTGGGTCCACATGGACATGGGAGTTAAATGTAAATGTATTCCTTTAAGGTGTGTTTGCTGTCAAAAGAGTAAGAAGTACAGACAACATCAAGTATTCAGTCCAAACTGTCCCAGACGGAAGGAATAAAAAAAACTTTTACTTTTACAGACTAAAATTGTTTTTTCGTTTCAGATTTTAGCTACAAAAAAAGGGTAAACAAGAAAAATAGTTCAAATTAAAGTGGCAGTGGCATGCAACAAACAGATGTCTGCAACCGAAACATTCTCCTCACAGAGCTGCTGTGATTGGCTGGCTCCATCTACTAAACTTGATTGTTTTTTTTTTAAGTAGATACAAAGCAGGGTGCCCACAGACACCGAACAGATTTTTAAAGGAACGTTACAATTTAATAATGTAAGTGAAAACGCAATTCAGTGCAATGATCAAAATGAGTGAACATGTCATTTAAATATTTGTGTGTTCCACTTTCATGTTGACTTCGAGACAGAACTTGAAGGTCACGTCCACGTGTACACAGGTCTCCTCGTCAGAGGTGATTCATCTTCCTGCTGCCTCATCCTCTTTGATCTGATGGAGGCCAGCGTGTCACAGCTCAGTGAACGTCACAGAAAGGAGGATTTATTATCTGCCCTGGCTGTTCACACTGGTGGCTTGTTGGTTTGGCCTGATGTCTTTAAGCGGGCTGTCAAGTTGTCATGCTCTCAAGAAGAGTCCATTACTTGGAGAAGAACCCATTACTTGTGGTGAAAACTTAAATAAACATACTTCCTTTATGTCCAGGTGCTACCCAATAAAGAAGAACCATAGCAGGGAAATTCATTCGTTTAGTTTTTATTTTGGCCTTTATTATGTAGGTCAGCTGTAGAGTGACTGAAAATGTTGGGAGGAGAGAGTGGGGGATGACATGTAGCAAGGGGCCGAGGTCGGATTCAAATCCCCCGCTGCTGTGGCCTCCATACATGGGGCGCCCAGCGTAACCACTAGGCTATCTGGTGTCCTGGACCCCTGTTTTGAAATTCCCACATATTCATGTTTGTTATTTCCCGCCGCTTTGAAAGTAACACTTAAACTGCCTTCCTGTGTGTCAACAACAACCTAATCAGACTCACCTGCATCTTGTTTCCCCTCGAGTACACTTATTTATAATCAGCGTGTCTCCCCTCATGTTTCCAGTT